GGTATGGACAGTGAGTTGTACTTCTTAGGTACCCCTTTGTTCATCACGCCTTTCTGCAATTCCGATAGTTGGCCAACTTCTCTCCTTGCTGCCTTGATCTTGGTCTCCAACCTCCTTCTCCATAGAGGCTACTGCTCCTTATAGCCTTTGTGGAACTTATAGCCCAAGCATCTCAAGGCTCATATATACGTCATGTGTGAAGAGCAGAAAATTCAGAAAACTTGCTGTTGAAATTGTAGTACAAGTACAGGACAAAACTGTTGGTACCCTTCCATTAAAGAAAGAGAAACTCACAATGGTTACTGAAATAATGTGAAACTGACAAAAGTAATAATAAATAAAAATTTACTGAAAATTAACTAATGAAAATCAGTCATTGCTTTTGAATTGTGGTTCAACAGAAGCATTTTAAAAAACAAACTAATGAAACTGGCCTGGACAAAAATGATGGTACCCCTTGAAAGGATTGAAAATAATTTGACCATAGGGACATGTTAAACTGAAGTGTGTCCTCTAATTAACATCACAGGTGTTTTCAAACTTGTAATCAGTCAGTCTGCCTATTTAGAGGGTGAAAAGTAGTCACTGTGCTGTTTGGTATCATGGTGTGTACCACACTGATCATGGACCACAGAAAGCTAAGGAGAAGGTTGTCTCAGGAGATTGGAAAGAAAATTATAGACAAACATGTTAAAGGTAAAGGCTATGACCATCTCCAAGCAGCCTGATGTTCCTCTGACTACAGTTGCTCATATTATTCAGAAGTTTAAGGTCCACAGGACTGTATCCATCCTCCCTGGACGTGGCCACAAGAGGAAAATTGATGACAAATTGAAGAGATGGATAATGCGAATGGTAAGCAAAGAGCCCAGAACAACTTCCAAAGAGATTAGAGGTGAATTCGAAGGTCAAGGTACATCAGTGTCAGATTGCACCATCCGTCTCTGTTTGAGCCACAGTGAACTTCACGGAAGACGACTGATTAGGACTCCACTGTTGAAAGCAAATCATAAAAAACCGAGAAGGGAAGTTGCCAAAATGCATATTGACCAGCCACAAAGCTTCTGGGAGAATGTTCTTTGGACAGATGAGACAAAACTGGAACATTTTCTGGAGTGAAATGTGCTGCCCATTGTCAGAACGCTTGGTCTCAGTTGCAGGTCATGGGTCCTTCAACAGGATAATGATGCAAAACACACAGCTGAAAAACACCCAAGAATGGCTAAGAACAAAGCATTGGACTGTCCTGAAGTGGCCTTCTATGAGCCCTGATCTAAATCCTATTGAACATCTGTGGAAAGAGCTGAAACATGTAGTCTGGAGAAGGCACCCTTCAACTATGAGACAGCTGGAGCAGCTGGCTCACGAGGAGTGGGCCAAAATACCTGTTGACAGGTGCAGAAGTCTCATTGAGAGCTGCAGAAATTGTTTGATTGCAGTGATTGCATCAAAAGGTTGTGCAACAAAATATTAGGTTAGGGGTACCTTCATTTTTTTGTCCAGGCCAGTTTCATTAGTTTGTTTTTTTTAAATGTTTTTGTTGAGCCACAATTCAAAAGCAGTGACTGATTTTCATTAGTTAATTTTCAGTAAATTTTTATTTATTATTACTTTTGTCACTTTCACGTGATTTCAGTGACCATTGTGAGTTTCTCTTTCTTTAATGGAGGGTTACCAACAATTTTGTCCACGTCTGTACATATATATATCTGTGCTGTCTTTCCAGTGCCTCTGTACTGTCTTTCAGCACAGCACAGAGGCACTAATCCTGGCAGCACAAGAACAAGCTCTAAGTACAAGATCAATACAGGCCGGGGTCTACCAGGCAGGACCCCAGGTGTACTGTACTAGTACACACTGTACTATGGTGTCTTTGATATTGTAACCCCTACCTATTGTGTATGGTGTATAAACATGACCAGCACAAACACTGTTTCAGCAGAGGCAAGAGGAGCAGTCAACATAAAATAAAATGATCGATAAAATCAGTGTTCACTTTTTCCCAACAAAACGGAAAGTCAGCCATGTGATGTCACTTCTATGTGTTGTCACTGCTGATTGCGTGTGTGAAAGTGTGTGAGTTAGAGGCATAAGCACAGACACGCACAGACAGTACTTGTTATTAGGGTAAATGTGTTAGTTTTGATCATTGCATTGGATTTGTTAATCAAAAAAGCCTTTTGTTCTTGTTAAATTCAGAAGTTGTGCAACTTTTTCATGTACATAGTAGTATACTCCTTCCTCACACCTACAGAAGTAAAGCTGGCTTTGTCTGTCTCTCAGCAAGATCAGTTTGGGAAACTGGCAGATGGGAGATAGGTCCACTCATGCTGCCCCTAAATCTGCCCCAGCTGCTTGGAGATAAACCGTGTGTGATGATTAATATGTTCTCGGGAACATGTCATACAAGTAGTTGATGATGAATGCAAATGCATGTGCACCATCGAATTTACAAACACACACACAGTCACCGTTAGTCCCTTGGGTGGCTGGTCGTTCTTGCAACAGTGGTTCAGTATTTAGTCTGCTGGGTCAAAACGGGGAATCCTCACTGTGACCCAGATAAGCTGTTTGGCTTGTTGTTAAAATGATTTATTATATTTCTGTGTTAGCTGCATTGTTTTGGCTGTCATTGCTCCCAGTGGCAGATCTAGACAATTTTGGGTGGTGTGGCCTGTCTAGAGCACAGACTCAGAGAGGGGTGGTGCAATTGAAATATATCTAAAAACTAAATTGTACCCCTAGTTTTATGAAATAATAAACCATACATTATTAAGAATCAGAATGTTTACTTTGTGTAAAAAAAAAAAAAAAAGACACACACATAGTGCTTTGGCTGTGCTCCTAATTTACTCCTGGCTGGGGATATCACTGCTGCACAGTGGTTCCCCCACAATCATGCCAAGTGCTCCACAGCAACAGAATTGGAGAAATGAATTCAAATATCATGCTGCATGCGTGATAGAAAATTAAAAAAATTTGACCAATATCAAATATAAAGCATCAGAAAAAAATGTTGCTGTATTTAAGACAACAGCTTGTCAGTGCTTTTCAATTTTCATTCTCTGATAAGCATCACATTTTGACTCTGGCAGGGGTGGCACTGGGTGTGGCCGATTAGGTTCTGGGGGTTGCCAGGGATGGCACTGGCCACACTCTGGATCCCCCATGACTGCTTCATCTTAGTATGATTGTTCCTTTTCCTCTCAGTCCTGCTAGGACACCTGCGCTGTGAAATGACAGTTTGTCAGTTTGTCGTGGCCAGTTGAATAACACAGCAGGTTAACTTGTGACACTTTGCTTTTGTATGGTCTCAGCCTAATGAAACGCTACTCAAATGTTATTCTCCAGGTCTCATCTGACTCAACTGACCTCACCATGCTGTTCTTGTCTTACAGGTGAGCCGCGCAAGTTTGACCCAAACTTCAGAGGACCTGTTCATAACAGGTACTATACATACTCAACATCACCATTATTACAACTATGTTTCCAAATCTGTGGGAAAGATTTTGTCATCACACACTGAAGATAGTTAATAACAAAAAAAAAATGGAATTTTATTTACTAACATTAAGGCAGGAGTCTTAGACACAAATAGGACTTCGTAAGAATTTTTTTTCTTTTGTAATTTGGCTGAACTGATCCTTTAACTACTGGTCATTATCTTCCAACATCTGACACTTCATGTGTATTGATTTAACCCATTATATAAGCTGTTAGGCACATATCCATGTCCGAGCACTTGATAGACCGATCATTAGTCATCCTGCATTAATTAAGATCATGGCAGGCCAAGTGCTGGCAGCTCACTCCCCTCCACCACACAGATCAATGGCCATAAGTCAAGCTGGTAGCTGGAGCTAGCCTAGTGACATACATCATTAACCACCCAGATACCCCCCAAAACAGATGTAGGTCACATATCACTGGGGCTATTGTAAGGAGGTAGTGGAATGTCTCTGTTTGCTCAACTAGCAGTGCAGTAGCACGACTCCTGATGAACTGCAATCTACTGTCTGTAGTTCTGTACATATTGCAAACAGTTTTTGCTTGCATCAATTTGATTTGAAATGTTCACTCCAAAATAGTGTTTAGAAGCCAGCATGTTTATGATGTGATTGATAGAAGCAATCTACTTACAGAGTGCTTCAAACATACTCAAAACATTGGCATTTTTTAGATTAATATTTTTAAACAGTGCAAAAGGATGTTTTGTTCAAATTTATATGAAACTGTAAATTTTATGATTTGGGTGCTTAAACTGAAGTTACTTGTCAAAAAAAATGTAAACAGTTGGTGGAGCTTAACAAATGTCGCCCCCTGCACTTACTACAGAAACACAATTTCCCTCTAAAAATGATAAATGGTATTTTTAAAATGAAGCGAAGAATTGAAATGAAAATGAAGAGCAGACTTTTGCAATAAAGCCAAACCCCATGATGTTGCCTCAGGGTTTTCTTGATGATTTAGTAATTTATGAGGTAATGTAGTCTTATCTCTTTCATGTTCAGTGTCACAAACTGCTGTGAAGGCATGTTTCAGTCCTGTCCCACCTCATCCAGCCTGTTTCACTACTCCAATTGGGTGAAGGCACCAAGGATACTCTGATGTTTCTGTGGCTCAGAGGCTTTTTTTCTTAATGGGAAGTGGGAGAGAATCACCTCTGTGGTTGTGTTTTCATGCAAGCACAATGCCTAAATGAAGGAACAGTATCTGTGGTTGTTGAGTAGCCCTCTACAGGCCAGATACTGTAGAAGGAGACACCCTGTAGTGTTAATTCAGACTGACTCCAGGTGTACTGTAAATATAATACATAGATACTGTCAGTGCGAGACACATATACACAACTGCACAATTGCGATAATGCCTTTATAGTGTTGTGTCACAGAGTGTGGTTCATTATAAATGTGCACTCACAAAGTTGACTATAAATCAGGTGCTCTCTCTCCCATCCCAGCATGTGTGACAATTTTTCTCAAAGAGGCCTGTGTTTGTCAGGAAAGCTGCTCACTTGAACCACTGTTGGCTCTTGTGACCATGAGAAATATCCCTTTTTTGTGTGCAAATCTGGTGCTCTAAATCACTGGTCCAGTTCATGTCTATTACCAAGCACGGACAGTCTGGCAGATTCACACCAGTGGCACCCACACTTTTCTGTGGCACTGCTGCCATCTGTGTCACCTTTCCTCCCACTGCATAGCAGCCATACAAATATAACAGTGACACAGAAGTTTCTCATTGCACGGACAGTGCTTCCAGTAATGTTTTTTTCTTCAGCATATTACACAAGCAGGGCAATGCTTTGCTCCCTGTGTATGTATGTGTAAGTGACATCTGAGAAGAGGGAGAGAGACCTGGAGGAGTCTGAATTGATTTAGGGTTTGACTTTCTTGGGTATCTGACTTGCAGTCCATGTAGCCTGCTTTTCAGAGATAAGAGGACGAAGAAGAATTGTTTTCCCTCTCCTCACTTTGTCAGCTTCTCTTCAGCACTCACCTTTGCATGCTTCAGAGGTGACTTTGTATTAGCAGTATGCTGGTGTGTTTGCACTTTGTCTTAATAATGCAGTCAGGTCTGTATGAGAGAGATGGGAAACAAGACAGATCTACAGCAAGTCATGTTAAAGTGGAGGAGAGGCAAGGTCAGCTTTAGACTCTCCCCTCATCGCATGCTCTAATCACCCACGATGTATGGCAAAGTGATAGATAACTTATCTACCAGCTAAAGGATTGAGAGGAATTCAAAGGCAAGGAATGCAAGAATTGCTGTGGCAACCCACATATTTCTTCTGTTCATTCTTTTTGAATGAAATGAAATGGTACTCCCTTGTTTCTCTTTGGTAATCATCTGCCCTTTATGTGCATTGATGCACACAAAGGGCATAAATTCATCATAAAGGGCACATAAAGTGCTGTATAGAACCATGTAATAGTGCTGCATACAAAACAAGTACAATCTATTCTTCAAAGAATTCCACAGCCTAGACCTCCTTTTGACCTTGGCTGTGCTCATCTGGAAGAAAGAGGAGGAGGGTTGAAGAGATGAGGGTCAGTTGGTGTAGCATGCGGTGTCAGGAGGAGGATCCACATGTCACTTACAGTCAGGGAAAAAAATTATTTGAACCCCAGCTGATTTTGTAAGTTTGCCCACTAACAAAGAAATGATCAGTCTACAATGTCAATGGTAGGTTTATGTGAACAGTGAGAGACACAACAATAACAAAAAAATCCAGAAAAATACATTACAAAAAAAGTTATACATTAATTAGCATTTTCTTGAATGAAATAAGTATTTGATCCGCTATCAGTCAGCAAGATCTCTGGCTCCCAGGTGTATTTTATACAGGTAACAAGCTGACATTGGGAGCACTCTCAGCTCGTTACCTGTATAAAAGAGACCTGTCCACAGAAGCAATCAATCGATTATTTGCAAATGGAAGAAACATATATTAACTGCCAATCTCCCTCGGCCTGTTGCTCCATGCAAGATCTCACCTCGTGGAGTTTCAATGATAATGAGAACGGTGAGGAATCAGCCCGGAACTACTCGGGAGGAACTTGTCAATGATCTCAAGGCAGCTGGGACCATAGTCACCAAAAAAACAGTAACACACTACGCCGTGAAGGACTGAAATCCTGCTGTGCCCGCAAGGTCTCCCTGCTCAAGAAAGCACATCTACAGGCCCGTTTGAAGTTTGCCACTGAACATCTGACTGATTCAGAGGAAGACTGGGTGAAAGTGTTGTGGTCAGATGAAACCAAAATCGAGCTCTTTGGCATCAACTCAACTCGCCGTGTTTGGAGGAGGAAGAATGCTGCCTATGACTCCAATAACACCGTCCTCACCGTCAAATATGGAGGTGGAAACATTATGCTTTGGGGGTGTTTTTCTGCCAAGGTCGACAGGACAATTGCACCGGATCAAAGGGAGGATGGATGGGGCCATGTACCGTTAAATCTTGGGTGAGAACCTCCTTCCCTCAGTCAGGGCATTGAAAATGGGTCGTGGTTGGGTATTCCAGCATGACAATGATCCAAAACACACAGCCAAGGCAACAGAGGATTGGCTCAAGAAGAAGCATATGAAGGTCATGGAGTGGCCTAGTCAGTCTCCAGACCTTAATCCCATAGAAAATCTGTGGAGGGAGCTGAAGGTTCAAGTTGCCAAACATCAGCCACGAAACATTAATGACTTGGAGAGGATCTGCAAAGAGGAGTGGGTCAAAATCCCCCCTGAGATGTGTGCAAACCCTGTGGCCAACTACAAAATGGTAAATGGACTGTATTTATATAGCACATTTTTCACAGTGTGTTGCGCTGGCCAAAGCACTTTACAGGAGATCATACACCATTCACCCATTCACACACCGATGACGACAAGGCTGCCACACAACGGCGCTACTCAAGCCACCGGGAGCAATTCAGGATTCAGTGTCTTGCTCAGGGACACTTAGGCACGCGGGGAGACCGGGAGTCAAACCACCAACTTGCTGGTCAGAAGACGACTTGCCCTACCTCGTGAACCACAGCCACCCCAATACAGGAAATGTCTGACCTCTGTGATTGCCAACAAAGGTTTTGCCACCAAATACTAAAGCACGTTTTGCAAAGGGATCAAATACTTATTTCATTCAAGAAAATGCTAATTACCTTATACCCTTTTTTTGTAATGCATTTTTCTGGATCTTTTTTGTTATTGTTGTGTCTCTCACTGTTCACATAAACCTACCATTGAAATTGTAGACTGATCATTTCTTTGTTAGTGGGCAAACTTACAAAATCAGCTGGGGTTCAAATAATTTTTTTCCCTGACTGTATATGCTTGTCCACTGTGCACAAGTGAGTTGAACTTCGTATGATTCAAGGCACAAAGTTTGAATATTTTTGAAAGAGGGATAAAAAAGGGGTTTGGCTGACAGCTTCTTTCAAAATGGAAAGAAAAGGAAGAAAGCTTGTTAAGGAAGAGACAGTGAAGAAATACTTTGAAAGTGGCTGAGATGTTGCTTTAAACTAGCAGACTAAAGCAACTGTGAAGAGAGGGGCAGTCTTCAAATAGCTATGTGTGCCTGTGGGACAGGATTCAGAGACTCATTAGAAAGTCTGCAGAGCTCTACTCCAGCTTCTCTGAAAACACAGAATACAGATGACACCTCGTCATGCCTGGCAGCACACACTTCTAAGATATACTGTAGAGCTCAAAGTCACTGGCCATACCATACAGACGCTATGTAATGATACCAAGAACAAAATTGTTAAACACACTATAATGCTTTCTTTCCTTGAGTTGAGGTAAATTTCCTATTTCTCCTGACATCGCATGACTAAATGTGTCAGATTTTTACACAAGGGTTTGACAACTAACCTTTTCTAAATACTGTAATCCTATTTTCTCTCATGAACTTGGTTTCCCAGGTCCCACATCTCTTACTTGTTCTCACACGTTTGTTTCCCAGGAGCTCCACTGATGTGTTTTGCTGTCTTATCTTCATCATTGTCATCCTTGGCTACATTGCTCTTGGCACTGTGGGTGAGTTTGACACATTGCTTCTGATCACACACAGTTTCATAATGACACACAGCCACACACATTCACACAAACATGGATCTGCACGACAGTGGGGATATGCTCTGTCCTGGAAGTGTAAATTGCTCATTTAGCCTCTTCCGCCTGGGCGTACAACACAAAATCTCTCACTGTTGGAATGAATGGAAAGTTTGTGTTTTTACAGAATTGTTGAGAAATGCAGCTCCTCCAAAGAATGGGCTATTCTTTAATAACTGGGAATTTTGCTAGAACAAAATTCTTGTATGGCTCACTCTAGTAGTGACTTGATGATCATGCTAGTAGAGCTGTTTTGTGTCTGAGTCGAGTTTTTGATTGGCTGACCAGAGACATTTTCAAATGTTCTTGAAGCCCTTTGATTCATTCAGAGTCCACATTGTCTACAGCTGACTGAGGCCATGCAGTCTTATGAATCTTACCATCAGCTCTCCTATTCTTTCTTGTTTTTTACATCTGTTTTTCTATTATCCTCTCTCTCTTTTTCTTATTTCTATTTAAATTTTCTCCCATTCTCTCCTATTTTTATATCTTCTGCTCACATTTTTCCACTTTGCCACTTTGGCCCCTTACTCGGACAAAAACCATAGCTTTTTTTATACACCTGATCACACATTTCGATTCCCATTAACACACAAGTATGACATACATCACAAATTAGGGGGATATGAGGTCCCAGTGCACCAGCAAAGTGTCGTTCCTTGCCAGCTTGTTGTCAGTGGAGTCACGTCTCAATCTGGGCATGGGAAGGACTTACTGTTTCCCAATCATTTAAAAAGGGTAAAAGCCATGACAATGGACGTGACTTCGAATAGACACTGACTTGTCTGCAGTCAGCAAAAGAACTTGGTGTGTTTTCTGTATGATTTTTCATTTCCATCTCTCTTGTTGTGTCAAAGACCTTTCTAGACTGCCTGTGTTTGCTGCCTCACATTCAGAGCAGTCCTTCATCAGCTGGCAAGGTGAAGGGCCTCAACAAATTAAGCTGAATTGGCTTTTTGTTTGTTTTTTGTGTAGCAGTTTCTTCTCAATTAATATTAATTTATGCAGTTGTTGTCTTGTTCTTTGTGTCATTACATGTGATATAGGACTGTCTTTGATCCACCTTTATTTTAATAATTTATGCAATGGTAGCAGATCATTTTTTGTTACATAAAAAGCTGAAAAGAAGGGTATGCCTATTGTATTTCAGTAGGAAGGGCATAGGTTTGTGCGTAGTACAGCTACATGTGTTAAAATCCTTGTAGTTAAAACAAATAACTGATATGTTTTCAGCCTGGATCCATGGTGACCCCAGGAAGGTCGTCTATCCAACCGACAGCCACGGTCAGTTCTGTGGCCAGAAGAACAGCCCCAATGCGTGAGTGGCAAAATATCTGTTTCTTAAATTTTTCTACAGTGGAATCGAAATTCTCTAACTTGTCTGTCAGCGTTCTATTGTTATGTTTACGCTGACAAAAGCCTATGGCCACTGGAACTGATTCGTGTTTAATTATGGCACCATGTGTGTGCGCATTAAATGCTTGCTGTAACAACAATGCGCAGCACTGGACTGATTTGTCAATGTTTCGAATCTAATATGACACCTCTCCTTTCTTCATTTGTTTCCACAGAAACAAAGCCATATTATTCTACTTCAACATGTTGAAATGTGCCAATCCTGCAGTTTTAATTAACCTCCAGTGCCCTACAACCCAGGTAAGAGACTGATTCAAGCCCTCTGTAGCGAAACATTTTACAATACTTTATGTTCCTCCATGCTTTATTATGCAAGGTTTATGGGCTTTCTCATTAAGAGGACTTGTTGCCTCCCTCAGCTCTGTGTCTCCAAGTGCCCTGATAGATTTGCCACTCTGCTGGATGCATGGAATACCAAAAACTGGGTATATTACAAGCAATTCTGCAAGCCGAGCTTCAAGAATGGAAGTAAGGTGAGAAAGAGTAGTTAGTGGTCTGTTTTTTTTTTTTTTTTCCGCATGTGTTTTGCTTTTAACTTCCAGTTTATCACTTCCTTCAGGCAGATCTCCATGTTTGCCCCCATTATTTTATTCAGGAAAAAGGGTTATTATAAGGTCTAAATTACTAGAATTTAAACTTTGTTTGCAATTTTATAATCAGAATCATGTGTTGAACACGAGGAATTTGACTTCGGTTGGCTCTCAGTGTGCATGTTCTTTTGTAAAGTCTTATGTTGTTTACAAGATAAGACTGAGAGAACACAAAAAGAAAATAATGTGCAAACAAGAAAATGAATGTGTATATACACAGGTTTAAGATAGATATATACAAAGGTATATTTTCAAAAAAAAAATCATCCTAGTATAGCTTTTAATCATAAAAGTTATTCATCCTCACATTCTGTCAGTTTTATCTGTACAGTCATAATAATGAAGAGCTGATTTAAATGTGCTCAGAGAGACAGCCGGAAGTGAGCTGGCAGCTACTGATGCACATCGCAGCCTTGTTCTGTCGGCTGGCGGCACTTAGGTGACGGTGACGTTGGTATTTTGGTGTGTAAGATCCTGAAAGTGTGGCGGTGTGTGGGAGCACCTAACAGCTCAGTCATATTGACTTCCTTTCCCACATCATGTCAAGTATGACAAAGTTACATCATACAAGATTCAGTCCAGCTCTGTCATAGCTGACTTCTTGGTCTTATTCAGAAGTAGTGATATTTGTATTGCCTACGCTATGATTGCTGAAGTAAGGCCCTCCAATTACCCATCAAAAATATTTTGTTGAAAGAATTTTTAGTAATAAATCTGTTGTTTTATGTTATTTCAGTCGTCTCCTTTATTTTTTGTCAGTCACCTGTAGAAGTCATACGAGATGAAGACTGCCCATCTATGATTGTGCCAAGCAGACCTTGTAAGTGACTGTGAAAAAGTGTAAACACGTAACATTATTTGTTTGGTAAGCCACTAAAACTGAAAACTTTTTAAAACTGTGTTTCAGTCCTTCGGCGGTGCTTCCCAGATTTCATTACAAGAAATGGAACTTTAACTGTAGCCAACCAGACCATCTTCAAAGATGGTGAGAATAACAAGAGAAGTGTCAACGACCTCAGAGATGCTGCTACGTAAGTCCCACCTCCCTGCGATGTAAATCGTTGGCCTTTTGTTTAATCATTTATACAAGTGGAAAAGTCACATACATTGAATTGAGAACTGGCATGTTTGCTGTGGTAAAATAATATGCATAATTATTTACTCTGTAAAACTGTTATACTCTCACTAGGGCTTCCAAATCTACACCCAGAGAGTTCTGGACAGATATTACAGGGTAGGATAAGTCGACATGTTAATGATGCCCAGGAATGTGCTGAACCACATTCCAAGTTATCTGCATGTTTGCTGCATGAAAATATAGTTTTAAGATCAGCAGTAGAACCTCAGGGGTACTTGTAAGCTAATAATGGCTGCTTTGTAAATCTATGCTAACAACACGCTTAATGGGCTGACATCGCAAACCATGTATAAGCAGCAAAATCATGTATTTAAACCAGTCAGCTAATATTATAAATGCATATTATAATGTGCATTAGTACTTAGTACTACTAGTATTAGTACTACTTCTTTTTGTGTAGTCAAGTAACTGCCATTCAGCAAGAAGTGGAATGGTCTCAGAAATGATATATTTCAGCTTTTTAACTTTGCCTCCATTGTAGCCAATAGCTTTGCATAGACTAACCCCTGGCATCTGGGCTGTTCATCAGGAATCTTTTTCCCTCACCTTGCAATAGCAGAGCACACTTAGGACAGATTATTAAAACAGTTTGCAGTGTAAATGTTCTTATTAACATCAAGTCAGTCTTCTGTGGTACTTTCTGAATTGCTGTGCACCCTCCTCCCTCAAATAGAATAGACAGTAATGTGGCACCCCCTGGTGGTCAGTATCTTTGCTCCTATAAACTAGATTTGAATTCAAGTTTGCGTAACAGTGCTGAAAATGAGTAACTCTTGGACTTGGACAGGGCTTCAATGACCTTTAAGTAGCTGAATTATAGCTCTTCGTCATGTGTTTGGTTCACAGGAATGCTAGTTTGTCCTCTATCCCTCCTCTGACTGTACGTGAGAGATTTATCTGAGTCACAGAACAGTGTGTCTGTGATCAAATATTAAAGTAACCATATCCTGGCATTGCTTCCAGTCTTGCAATTTAACTTAGCCATCTGTTGGTGTCAAAGGAAATGAAGCTTTTTACCTGAAGTGAGAAACTGAATTCTAGCTATCCTGTGCCACCTCAGATAACCATTTAGTTTATCACATGCGGGTTTCTAGTTATTATACACTTACTGTATTTGTACATTGATCAGAAATAAACGGGCTCCTTTTCCAACACATCCATTACTATGTGTTCTTCCAGTTTGTAACATGCTGCCATACAATTTTCCACCATACCATAGGAGCTATTGTTCAAAGGCCCCTTAACAATCTGCATATGAAGCTTAAAATTTTCTTCCAAAATTTCATAACTCAATAAGTGGCACACAGCTGAGATCAGCAAATGCATTCATCTTTATTTTGCAGCAAGAGCTTTAAAGATAACTCACATGTCAAGATGTTTTTCAGAAACCCTTGCAAACCTGCCACAATCCCCTCTGTGTTCTTATTAAATCCTTTTTTTTGTCACCTCATTCCTACCTTTTCCCGTCTTACCTTGTTACTCCATCACAGAGGCATCTCCAGTTTGCTGAATGCCAAAGAAGTTGGCATGAAGATCTTTGAGGATTATGCAAATTCCTGGTACTGGATCCTCATGTAAGAGTGGCTGTGGCTTTTGGTGGTGTTCATGTTTTCACTACTCTTTGTGCTTTCTTTGTGTTCTTTGGTAGTGAAAATTCTCCAACCTGTCAGTGAAAGTAATGATGAAACTGAAAAAATGATCACCCTGTTGCTGTCATATGCAAATGTATATTGTATGTCCTTCCTGCTTGAAGCCCCAGATAAGTGCTATTTGCATACCATCGTACTAAGTGATTTGTTAAAATCTAAATGAATTTCATTATGTCAAAACCCATCCGTTATCTGAATTGTATATCAATCTGTAAGAGCTTATTTGCAAGCACTAGTCACTTCCCAGTAAATACAGTATGTGTGTGTGTGTTGGTGTTGTTGCAGTGGTCTGGTGATAACCATGGCAGCCAGCCTGGTCTTTATCCTGCTGCTACGCTTCACTGCTGGTGCACTCCTATGGATCATTATCTTTGGTGTTATCACTGCAGTTGCCTATGGTTAGCATGCACAAAGGCACCTTTTATATATTATGTTATTATACTTAGCACAACTATTGTTCAAAAAGCTAAATAATACAACTTAATATTGAGACATCTTTGTGTGAAGGCCTTGTTTTGATTATATTTAGCACATGTTGGAGATAATACCCACTTTTTTTTTTTTACATTTGGTGTCCTTTTGCTGTGAGCGCTTCTGTTATCGTGGTAAACTGTAGCACATTTCGATTTGTCATCCCTTCTCTCTTTGTCTCAGGTATCTGGCACTGCTATGGGGAATACAGGGCTCTGAGCAAGAAGTCCAGTGCTAATATGGCCATCTCTGATATCAGCATTCACACAGACTTCACCATTTACCTTCAGCTCAGCCAGACATGGCTCATCTTCAGTATGTAGTCATTCGCTATCATACATTTACTTCACACTTATATGACACATCAACTAGTTGTTCACATTCAGTGTGGTTTGCAGTGTAGTATTTTTAGTGTTGATTGTCCTGTTAGAAGTTGAAACCCAAACTTTTATGGCAGTAGTGCAGTACTTATTCCAGTGGGCTTTGCAGAGCCCCAGTTATAAGACCAATAAAGAGCTGTAGGGATGATGTATTTTTGTAGGCCAACCCAGAAGTTAGCATCGCCCTGGTTCCCTTGACAGAAAGTGCATGGGATTTTTTATAGGCTTTTTGATTATTGCAGAAAATAAGCTCTTTGACAAATTACGGTTTATAACACCAACACGTTTTGTTCAACCGAGATAATCTTCACAAGTGAACACAACTTTTATGATTTTTGAAGCCCAAAGAAAATCCATCCATCCATCCATTTTCCTCCGCTTATCCGGGACCGGGTCGCAGGGGCAGCAGTCTAAGCAAAGATGCCCAGACTTCCCTCTCTCCAGACACTTCCTCCAGCTCCTCCGGGGGAA